ACATAACGAAGAGCGGAGTCAACTTAAGCGCAGGCTTATAAGAAGCCTACGTAATGATCGTGAACAGTGGTGGGTAGCGAAAGCAAGAGAGATGGAAAAGGCAGCGGCAATAGGTAACAGTAGGCAGCTATTCAGACTCGTTAAAGAAACCGGTATTAGGAGCCCGAATATCAGTGAAACCATCTCAGATAAAGATGGGCATATTATTCATTCTCAATCCAGGAGATTGGATCGATGGGCAGAACACTTTAGGGATCAGTTCAACTGGCCTTCAGCCACACTTCAATTACCCACGATCCCCAGTCGTCCTGAATGGCAAATTGATGTAAGTCCTCCAACCCTCTGCGAGGTTGAAAAAGCTATAGGAAATCTGAAGCGAGGGAGAGCAGCAGGCCCTGACAGGTTGACCCCTGAGATTTTTAAGGATGGTGGTCCAGTACTAGCAGTGAGATTGACTGAGGTCTTAGGTAGAATCTGGGAACTGGACGTAATTCCATCTGACTGGTCCCAGTCACTGATTGTGCCAGTCTATAAGAAAGGACAAAAGTCCTCCTGTGACAATCACAGAGGAATCAGTTTGACTAATATAGTGTCTAAAATATTAGCTTCAATAATACTAGGTCGCCTAACCAAAGCTCGTGAAGAGCAGACTAGAGAAAACCAGGCTGGTTTTCGACCTGGACGTGGTTGTATAGACCAGATATTCACCCTACGTCAAGCCCTAGAACATAGACATACATTCAGACGTCCCACAATAGTAGTATTTCTTGACCTTAAGGCGGCATTTGACTCTGTTGATCGGGAGGTTCTATGGCAGTGTTTGTCACTGAAAGGAGTACCAAAGAAGTACATTAACCTCATAAAGGCTCTCTACTCGAACACAACTGGTCGAGTTAGAGCCTATGGCGAACTGTCATCAGAACTGATTACCTCAAGTGGTGTTTGTCAGGGCTGTCCACTCTCCCCATTCTTGTTTAACTTTGTCATTGACATACTTTTAGAGATAGCACTTTCATCAGCTAAACCTCCAGGAGTTGAACTTTTACCAGGAGGCTCACTTGTTGACTTAGAATACGCCGACGACATAGTTTTACTCGGTGAAGACGCTGACAACATGCAGCGTCTTCTGACCACTATAAGCAACTATGCAGGCATGTTCGGGATGCGATTCTCTCCCTCGAAGTGCAAAATGTTACTTCAGGATTGGGTTGCAGCGACACCTGAACTAATGATAGGGAGTGAAGTAGTTGAGCGTGTAGACCACTTCACTTATCTTGGGAGTCTCATCAGCCCTTGTGGTCTGGTATGTGACTAAATCTCAGCACGGATACAGAAGGCTCGTCTAGCTTTTGCCAACTTGCGTCATTTATGGCGTAGGCGAGATATCCGTCTAGCAACAAAAGGACGGGTTTACTGTGCAGCAGTCCGTTCCGTCCTACTTTATGGCAGTGAAACATGGCCGATAAGAGTAGAGGATATTCGTAGGCTACTAGTGTTCGATCATAGGTGTCTTCGACGCATTGCTCGTATATCCTGGGACCACCGGGTAAGTAATGCAGTTGTTAGGAAACGAGTACTAGGTAGGGATGGCAAGTCGATTGATGAAGTAGTGAAACTTCATCAGTTGAGATGGCTGGGACATGTGTTACGTATGCCCGACCACCGACTGCCCCGACGTGCAATGTTTCATGGTGTAGGAGTAGGTTGGAAGAAAGCTAGGGGTGGCCAGACCAAAACGTGGCACAAATCTATGAAGTCACCGACAAGTGGACTGGGCCATGTTAGTAGGTACAGACTACATGGTTGGGATTCGCGAGATGATAGCAGCCGATGGTTAGAGACCTTGAATGACATGGCTCAAAATCGTTTGCAATGGCGAAGGTGCATCCACTCTTTGTGTTCTACCAAATTCTAATCTGAATTCTTCATGTCTGTATCCTTTTTCTCTTTCCAAATTTATTTCATTGTATTATACTCCTTCGCCCCCAAATGCCCTGGTACGGCCGAGAGTGGGGAGAGTCACCTCTCCCTCTCGAAATGCTCTCATATGGCCAGCGAATATATAGCCTCTGCCAGGGAATTCCTACTCACTGCCTTCTTGTGGCGGGGGTGTTGTTTACGAAAGTGAGAGGACGAAAAGCGAATGTCCGGCGCTTTAACCGGGTTGGTGGACATGGAAAGTTCACCTAGGGGAGTTGGAAAATCCTGATTCCAAACCAGTGGTGCACATGGGCTCCAGTATCCTGAGGGAACATATGGCGTACGAATCAACCGTTGATCACCGGCTACCATGGGACTGCATATCCTCACGATGCTCCACTGCCTTGTAGGTTAGACCTTTAGGTCAAAGGCTACGGGTGTGGCCCCCTAAGAAAACCACCTGCTTCAGTCTGGGCACCTGGGCAGTATCACAGCCCTCACACAAATCGAATGAGATTTGTGAGGCGCATATGTATCTGGTGCTTCCTTGTACCAATATTTATGTGTTTAAATAAATAAATAAATTGTACTCCTTCAATAACATCTTCAAACCCTATTCTTTCACATTAATGCTTATACTCTTACTACTTCTACCAATATGGGATTTGAATCGACAACTTCATCTCTGTGCTAATGTGGTATGGCAACTCGAGCTGATGTACGTACGTACGAAGTTCTACGTTGTAACTGACTGACTGACTGACTGAATTCACAAGCAAAGCAATTCGTAAGCAAAGAACAGGACTCAGTTGCCGAGTGGATAAAGCGATGGCGTTTGAAGCGAAAGGTACTGGGTTCGAGCCCCAGAGTGAACATCAACTCTGAGATGTAGGTACATCCAGCTGACGAGTGTGAAGTAGGACGAAACGCGCGTCAAACTGGATTCCACTGCTAGCCACTATCCATCTTTGCTTACAATGTGTAATATACCTGTATATAAAAATGACTTTAATAAGGGTAAAACTATATTGTAGCAATGGCCTTCAGGTGAACATTTAAGATTGTGACTATAAATGTTTGCGTGAAATTTAAAACGAGGTAAACGATAGCATGTATAGTGAACGAAGACTAAGGTGGAGAAAACCAATTAATTGTTTAAAGCAAATTCACACAGTGGCTTAGTGAGATATGAAAATCATACATTCAATACACCATTAGCACATTTTCTTTAAGTTGTTCTTTATACACTTCATTATTCCTTTAATTCTGTTGCTATTACAATTGCTCTTAGATTTCCTTCCTGTTCTCTTCATCGCGATTTTCTGTTGCCAGGGTCTCCACTTCCGACAGCTGTTACATACTACTTATGTTTGCCAGAATAAGTAGCATGCACCCCATCTATCTTATAATTAGTATCTATAGTGCTTAAAATTGGTAAGAATAACTTGCATGCAACCACATAGTGGATTTGGCATGGTGCAGAAGCTAAATTAACAGAAATACATGTTTATGTGCAGATTTTATCTAATTTTCTCAAGAACTTATGTATTGAAAATAGTCATTTTTCGACTTTCGTGTTGAAAGTCTGAACTCCATCCTATCATCTATTACAGTTTTTACAGTTTAGCACTATTACTATTAAGGATCTTAATCATACAAAATAAAAAGTGCATTTGAAAGCCAAGTGTACACAAGTATGAGTATGGTTGCACAGATATATTTCCATTAGAGCAACCAAAATGTTTTGAATAAGTTGTATCTTCTGATTAATTCAACCGCCAGCACTTATATGGCTGCTGCTGGTCCCAAGATCGGGTAAAGGACGGTTGGGAATGGTGTCAGCAACCACATCCCGTAGAAAACAACCTACTAAAATACGCTAACCATAATAAATAATTCAAACCAATTAAGCTCTGCAATCCAAATTGAACGATCTCCTTTCAGAACAATTATCATCCTTAATAGTGAAAGTCCAGATTCTTCGGAATCCATGAGGCCTATGACCTTTCTAACAACCACACCAACAATTAATGTAGGTACACGGAATGTTCAGACAATGTGGGAAGACCGTGAGGATCAGACAAATAGCAACGGAAGTAAAGAGATACACCTTGACGGTGCTCGGAATCAGTGAAACCCATTGGACACAAGCTGGACAACAAAGAATAGATACGAGAGAGATGCTTCTGTACTCTAGTTATGAAGAAGGAAATGCTATACACACTCAGGAAGTTGCTCAGATGCTGTCCAGAGAAGCACGAAATGAATTAATAGAATAGGAATCTCATAGACTCAGGATCATCAAAGTATCATTCAAACAAAGAAAGGAATCACAATCAATGTTATCCAAAGTTATGTGCCGACCAATGATAGCAGTGACGACGATAAAAATGAGTTTTATGAGAGGATACAATCAATCACAACGAAGTGTTCAGGAAAAGACCTGACCATCTTGATAGGAGACTTAAACGCAATTGACGGGATGAACAACATCGGTTATGAAAATATCATGGGACTAGGAGAAAGAAACGAAAATGTGGAGAGATTTAAATCTGTCTGCATTCAACAAATTGGCTATAAGTGACACAATATTCCCCCGCAAACACATACACAAAGCTACATAGGTCTATCTCATCTGATCACATTACACAGAACCAGATCGACCATATTTGCATCAGTAGAAAATTCACAAGGTCAACCGAACACATGTGAACCAGGAGAGGAGCTAACAGCTTCAGATCACCATCTACCTGGTTGCGGCCAACATGAAACTGAATCTAAAGAAACACTGGACAAACGGAGAAACATCATTACAAAGATTCAATACAGCCTTCCTCCGAGATACTGACAAACTCAACGAATTCAAGATAAATCTTAACAACAGGTTCCAAGCCTTACAGGATCTACTCAAAGAAGAATCTACGATGGAGGACAAATAGAAAGGGATCAAAGAAACTGTTATGCCTGAACTAAATCGATTCCGCGGTACGAACGAAAACCAAATGACACAATGACACGATAAGCTATTCTAATCTGTTGTCCCAGGCCCCGCTAACTAGATGAAGAAGTCCAAGGCGAGTAGGGGAATATATATGTATTCCGCAAGCAGCCGAGTACAAGCAATCAAATAAGGGAAAAAGTCAAGCGCATTTATACAGTAACAAATTGTCCTTGAGCACCATTAGTAAATAGCACACATAAAGAAACAAAGGACCAATAGCGGTTAAGATAGTTTACAGGTGGGAAATATGACGTGAAGGTAAAAGAGCGCTTTTGGCGCGAAAACAGCTAAATTCAAATTTTCAAAATAAAACTACAAGATTAGGTCATTTACCAAGTAAGTTCTGGGGATTTGACATCCCCAACACCTCCCCTTTTTAGTAACGGACATTCTTTGGGTCCACCTGCATTCTAACTGTCTGTCGCCGTTGGCGCAGTGACCATCTTCGGGACCGTAGATCGACCTTTTGGTCTTCTTCATGCGTTGGGACTGCCGGCAGATTAAATGTATCCAATAGTACGTCCAGCGGAATCTTTACTTCGGTCGATGGGCGCTCTGGTGTTAACCGCTTGCGTAGTTGATTTCGATGTCTGGTCCATCTGTCCGTTCCTACCTCCACCTCATACATGACTTCTCCCATCCGTCTAACCACACGTGCTTCGATCCAAGGGTCACGATTTGCTCTGTAGTCCCGAGCGAATACTGGGCATCCAACGTTGTACGTGGGTAGCTTCCGGGACGTGGTTTGTATTAGTGGTGGTGTGGATTTCGGCAGCATCAAGTTGTGAATGGTCCTCAGCCGTCTTCCCATGAGGATCTCTGCGGGGGACTTCTGCTCCGGCAGCGTGTCGTTGGGGGTCGTTCTGTAGGCAAATAAAAAATTCTGCAGTGTTTCCACTGGCGTCCCCTCCCCTTTTGACTTAATCAGAGCCCTCTTGAACGTATCCACGAACCTTTCCGCTTGCCCATTCGATTGTGGGTGGTAAGGTGGGGCGCGAAGATGCCTGATGGTTAGGCGTTTGCAGAACTCTTGGAACTGCGCCGAGGCGAACTGCGAACCGTTGTCGGATACAATCACTTCCGGTAATCCGTTTCGTGCGAACAACTCAGTCAAATGTTTCAGAGTCTGGGTGGTCGTTGGTGGAGTGACGGGAACAATCTCCGGCCATTTTGAGAAGGCGTCGACCACGACAAGATATGTGGTTCCGTTGACTGGACCGGCAAAGTCGATATGTATCCTAGACCAGGGATGCTCAGGCTGTGGCCATGGGACCGGCGGTACCTTCGCATTGGACTTTGCAGCTTGTTGACACTGAGCACATTTGTTTACTAGGTCCACGATATGCTGGTCCATGAGGGGCCAGTAAGCATAGCTTCTGGCGATGGATTTCATACGCTTTATGCCTGGATGACCAATGTGGAATTGCTTCAGCACCCTCGGTCGTAGGGATTCTGGCACGACCACTCTATCTCCAAACATCAAGCATTCATTTACGACACATAATGAGTCACGACGATGGTAAAGCTGCTTCATGTCACCGTCAAGTTCAGTTGATGGCCAGCCATTGGTGACGTAGTTCATCGTTTTCTTAATGACGGGGTCGTTTCTGGAAGCAATTTGTATCTCAGATTCTAAGACTGGCAAAGCACGAACAGCGGTTGTCAGGTAGCATTGCGCGTGGTCTTCTGTCGAAAGAGAAGCGATAACGGCATCTTCATCGGTCGTAGAGTGTTCGTTGATGAGTCGTGACAATGCGTCTGCTTGACCAAATTGTTTGGTGCGTCGATACTGAATGTCAAAATCATACCCCAAGAGGATCAAAGCCCATCGTTGGAGACGGTTTGCAGAGTGGGCCGGGACGCCAGATTTCGAACCAAAAATTGCGAGAAGGGGCTTGTGATCCGTAAGGAGTGTGAACCTCCGACCGTACAAAAATTTGTGGAACCGCCGCACCGCAAACACCAGGGCGAGAGCCTCCTTCTCTATCTGACTATACTTCCTTTCTGCCGGGGTCAGTGTTCTGGATGCGTGCATGACAGCCTTCTCTGTTGCGTCTGGAAACTGATGAGAAATGACGGCTCCTACGCCATACGCTGAGGCATCTGCAGCTACAATGATTGGCATGCATGGATCGTAGTGCGTTAATACAATTTCGAGCTGATGATGGACTTCAGTTTACAGAATGCTGCGTCACACTCTTTAGTCCAGTTCCACGTACTGTTCTTGCTCAGTAGGCCATTCAGTGGGGCACGAATGTCATGCATTGAAGGGACGAACGCGGCATAGTAAGAGACCAGTCCCATGAAGGAACGCAGTGCGGAGATATTCGTGGGTGTGGGCATCTGTCGTATCGCTTGGACATTTTCAGGATCCGGTCTGCGGCCGTCAGCATCAAAAATAAACCCCAAATACTTTACGGACCGTAATAAAAACTGGCATTTCTCAGGTCGTAACCGGAACCCGTTTTCACTAATGCGTTTCAGTACCGATGTCGTTCGCTCATGTAGCTGTTCTAACGTTGCGGCAACAATTAGAATGTCGTCAAGGTAAGCCGCGACTCCCGGGATGCCCGATAAGATAGTATCCATTAATTGTTGGAAAATAGATGGTGCAGTCTTGACACCGAATGGTAAACGGTTGTACTGAAATAACCCACGGTGAGTGTTGATAGTAAGCAGCTCCCTAGATGCTTCGTCTACTTCAACTTGCAAATAAGCATCAGCAAGATCCAGTTTTGCGAAGAATTTTCCCCCATTCAGCATCGTAAACAAATCTGCCGGAACTGGTAAGGGATAGTGGTGTTGTTCAAGGGCTGCATTTAGACCTGTAGAAAAATCAGCACATATTCGTAAGGTGCCGTTTGCTTTCTTGATGACCACTATCGGTGCTGCCCAGGCGGAGTAAGAAACGGGAGTAATTACTCCTTGTTGTTGGAGGCGGTTTAATTCTTCATCTACTGTTGGTAACGTCGCATAAGGCACGGGTCTTTTGGGACGAAAGACAGGCTTAGCTCCAGGTTTCAAACGAAGCGTTGCTTTTAAGGTAGAACACTGTCCCAAACCAGGCTGGAAAATCGATGAAAACTGCGCCATTAGCTTCCTGGTATACGATTCAGTGCCATGAGGTTGTGATATCATGTGGCATATGGTATTTAGTGGGACATCAGCCAATTTCAGTTGATCGAACCAATCTAAACCAAGTAAATTTAGATCAGCTGGAGTTATATGACATACCCCGGTAAATGACGACTCCCGGAAGGTCACTCTACATTCCAATTGTCCTTCTAAGTGTAGGAAATTACCACATGCGGTACGAGGCTTTTTAGTTGTTCGCTGCAGGCTTGGGCGACCCATTTTGATCCAATTTTTGTGAGAGAGGATGGTGACGTCTGATGCGGTATCTATTTGCAATCTAAAAAAATGTCCATTAATATTAATGTTAATGAATTTCCTCTCACCTGGTGATGAACTCTGACAAGAAGATACCAAGCTCAAAGAAGAGGTACAGGGCTTTGGAACCGTCTTTTTGGTATTACTGGATCGATTTGGTGTGCTCTTAAGGCAAAACCCGTCCTTGTGGCCAACAACCTTGCACTTCCTGCATCGATGTTGCTTAAATGGGCAATTCCTTACGTAGTGCCATGCACCACAATGCCAGCAAGGAGTGGAGGGATTCGTTCTGGTCTGTCGAATTGGGCTGAAATGAGTTGGACTGAATGCAGCGGGAGCGCACTGATTCTGGTTAGTTGTCTTTTGGATTACTCGTACTTCCGATCGACTAGACCCACCACTCTCAACCATCGACGTGTCTCGTTGTAGATTTACTAGGCGTTGATATTCATTAGCCATGTCATTTAGTGTAAGTTTTGGATCTTGGTCCAATCGACATAGTAGTCGCGTTCTTATGTCACTGAACTTCTGGGACTGAAGGCTGCAAATGAGGATAAGGGCTTTGAACTGGTCTTCAGATAAAGACTTTAACCGGAACCGTTCGCATTCACGGTTAACGATGCCCACATGCGTAAGGAAGTCATCGTCTTCGTTCATAACCAGCTTCAAACATCGGTAACGGGTGTTAAACAATGATGAATTGTCCCCAAAATGTTGGCTTAGTGTCTGGACTGTGTCTGCGAAAGAGCGATCACGTGGATTCAATGGCAGGATCAAATTGCAGTACCTGTCCAGCTCACTTGCACCCAACTTCCGAAGTAGCAGTCGTACCTTCCAAGCATCATCTTGATTAGCAAAATCAAATTTAAATAGGTCTTCATAACGCCGGAACCACATGTCAAAAGTAACGTTTGCATCAGGATCATAATGAAACTCAGCAATACTATTTGCGACGCCGTCTACTGATGGTGCTGTGGTTGCATTAGCTGTGCTAGGCTGTGAAGGGGGCGAAACTTTCATGTCTGTCAGCATTTGTATGAGCTTCAGCTGCTGTTCAAGTAATGATTCGAGTTTAGAAGGATCCATGTTTCCAAACCACCGTCGCCAATTGTTATGCCTGAACTAAATCGATTCCGCGGTACGAACGAAAACCAAATGACACAATGACACGATAAGCTATTCTAATCTGTTGTCCCAGGCCCCGCTAACTAGATGAAGAAGTCCAAGGCGAGTAGGGGAATATATATGTATTCCGCAAGCAGCCGAGTACAAGCAATCAAATAAGGGAAAAAGTCAAGCGCATTTATACAGTAACAAATTGTCCTTGAGCACCATTAGTAAATAGCACACATAAAGAAACAAAGGACCAATAGCGGTTAAGATAGTTTACAGGTGGGAAATATGACGTGAAGGTAAAAGAGCGCTTTTGGCGCGAAAACAGCTAAATTCAAATTTTCAAAATAAAACTACAAGATTAGGTCATTTACCAAGTAAGTTCTGGGGATTTGACATCCCCAACAGAAACACTAATTTCAACGTGTCAGGGAGTTCTAAGCCGCAAAAAGCATTATCATAAGCAATAGATCTCTATGGGAACCCTGGACAACATTGGAGAAAGAAAGAACAAGAATACAGAAATTAACAACAGTCGAACACGAGCAGAGAAAGTTAAGGCACAAGCAGACTACGCAGACGCAAGCAAGAAAGTGAAGAAGAGCATTAGAACCGACAAGCAGAAATACATGGAAGAACTAGCAACGACGGCGGAAAAAGATGCAAGAGAAGGGAATGTGAAGCAATCATATGATACAACGAAGAAACTGGCAGGTAAATATAGTAAACCAGAGAGACCAGTCAAGGACATCGAAGGAAAGATAATCACTGAGATTCAAGAACAGAGGAAAAGATGGGCAGAATACTTCGAGGAACTGCTGCATATACCAGCCCCATTGGATTCATCAGACATCGAAGCAGCACACACTGACCTTCCTATAGATTTCACTCCACCAACGATCATAGAAATCAAGATGGCCATCAGACAAATCAAGAGTGGGAAAGAAGCAGGACACTATGGTGCACCTAAGGAGTCCCTGAGAAAATCCTCGACATTATCTGGAACTCATACGATGGACTACAGTGCAAAGTCGTGTATGGAGGACAGCTGACAGATGCATTTCCAGTAAGGACTGGAGTCATACAAGGCTTCCTACTCTCCCCCTTCCTCTTTCTTCTGGTGATTGACTGGATTATGAAAACCTCGACATCTGACGGGAGCACGGAATACAATGGACAGCTCGGAATCAATTAGAAGATTTGGACTTCACAGGTGACCTAGCACTTCTATCCCATACACACGAACAAATACAGACGAAAACAACAAATGCAGCAGTAGCCTCTGCAACAATAGGCCTCAACATACACAAAGGAAAAAGCAACATCCTCAAATACAACACGGAGAACGCCAACCAAACTCCACCTGTAGCTCCTCCAGGGGCTACTGCCGGTCCCAAGCCCGGGTAAAGGAGGAGGGTTGGGCATGGGGTTAGCGACCCCATCCCGTAGAAAATCAACTCGCTAAAAAAAAGCTAACCAGAAAAAATCATTCAAACCTTTCAAACTCTGCCCTCCGAGTTGAAGGAATAATTACGACGTCTCATGATGAAAGCCGAGTTCATTCGGAAGTCATGAGGCCGATGCACCTTCTTACAACCAGAGCGACAATTTTTATAGGTACATGGAATGTCCGGACAATGTGGGAGACTGGCAGAGTCTTCCAAATTTCTGCGGAAATGAGGAAATACAACCTGGAAGTGCTTGGAATCAGTGAAACACATTGGACGCAGGTTGGACAACAACGACTGTCTTCAGGAGAACTTCTGTTATACTCCGGTCATGAAAAAGAAAATGCCCCACATACACAAGGAGTGGCACTGATGCTGTCTAGAAAAGCACAAAATGCACTTATAGGATGGGAATCTCATGGACCGAGGATCATCAAAGCCTCCTTCAGAACAAAGAGAGAGGGCATTACAATGAACATCATCCAATGCTATGCGCCGACCAACGACTACGATGAAGACGCTAAAGACCAATTCTACGATAGGCTGCAGTCAATCTTCGAGAAGTGCCCAACCAAGGACCTGACCATTCTAATGGGAGATTTCAATGCCAAGGTTGGAAAGGACAACACTGGATACGAAGACGTCATGGGACGACATGGACTGGGAGAAAGGAACGAAAACGGTGAGAGATTTGCAAACCTATGTGCCTTCAATAAACTGGTCATAGGTGGCACCATATTCCCACACAAAAACATACACAAAGCCACTTGGATTTCACCGGATCACACTACACAAAATCAAATCGACCATGTCTGCATCAACAAAAAGTTCAGGAGGACGATGGAGGATGTGAGAACCAGAAGAGGAGCTGATATAGCATCCGATCACCATTTGCTGGTCGCCAAGATGAAACTAAAACTCAAGAAGCACTGGACAACGGCGCGGACAACATCACAAAAGTTTAACACGGCCTTTCTTCGAGATGCTGACAAACTCAACGAATTTAACATAGCCCTCAGCAACAGGTTCGAGGCCTTTCATGACCTACTCAATGGAGAGGGAACCACCATAGAGAGCAGCTGGAAAGGTATCAAGGAGGCAATCGTTTCAACATGTCAGGAGGTTCTGGGCCAAAAGAAGCACCATCACAAGGAATGGATCACTGTTGGTACACTGGATAAAATTGAAGAAAGAAGGAACAAGAAGGCAGCAATCAATATCAGCCGAACAAGAGCGGAAAAATCCAAGGCACAAGCCGAATACACAGAGGCAAACAAGCAAGTGAAGAGGAGCATCAGGACCGACAAACGTAAATATGTGGAAGATTTAGCGATGACAGCGGAAAAGGCTGCAAGAGAGGGAAACATGAGACAACTGTATGATACAACAAAGAAACTTGCTGGAAATTACCGTCAACCAGAAAGACCAGTGAAAAACAAGGAAGGCAAAGTAATCAACGATATTGAAGAAATACGAAACAGGTGGGTAGAACACTTCAAGGAACTCTTGAATCGACCAGCTCCACTGAACCCACCCAACATCGAAGCAGCACCCACAGACCTCCCAATCGATATTGGCCCACCAACAATTGAAGAGATCAGCATGGCCATTAGACAAATCAAGAGCGGCAAAGCAGCAGGACCAGACAACATCCCGGCAGAGGCACTGAAAGCAAATGTAGCAGCAACTGCCAAGATACTCCACATCCTCTTCAGTAAGATTTGGGACGAAGAACAAGTACCAACAGACTGGAAAAAAGAACTTCTGATCAAGATACCAAAGAAAGGCGATCTCAGCAAGTGCGACAACTACAGGGGCATCACTCTCCTCTCAATACCAGGAAAAGTCTTCAACCGAGTATTGTTAAACAGAATGAAGGATTCCGTGGACGCCCAACTTCGAGATCAACAAGCTGGATTTCGTAAGGATAGATCGTGCACAGATCAAATCGCAACTCTGCGGATCATTGTGGAACAATCAATCGAATGGAATTCATCACTCTACATCAACTTCATCGACTACGAGAAGGCATTTGATAGCGTGGACAGGACGACACTATGGAAGCTTCTTCGACACTACGGCGTGCCTGAGAAGATAGTCAATATCATACGGAACTCCTATGATGGACTAAACTGCCAAATCGTCCACGGAGGACAACTCACCGACTCGTTCGAGGTAAAGACCGGTGTTAGGCAAGGTTGCTTACTCTCACCCTTTCTCTTTCTCCTGGTGATCGACTGGATTATGAAGACGTCAACATCTGGAGGAATGCACGGGATACAGTGGACAGGCAGGATGCAGCTTGACGATTTAGACTTCGCGGATGATCTGGCTCTTCTATCACAAACGCAACAACAAATGCAGGAGAAAACGACCAGTGTAGCAGCAGCCTCAGCAGCAGTAGGTCTCAATATAAACAAAGGGAAAAGCAAGACTCTCCGATACAACACAATATGCACCAATCAAATTACACTTGATGGAGAAGCTTTGGAGGATGTGGAAACCTTTACATATCTGGGCAGCATCATTGATGAACACGGTGGATCAGATGCAGATGTGAGGGCGCGGATCGGCAAAGC